CAACGAAAATGACGTTATTTCCCACTTAATACTACAAGGTTGAATTTGTTGCCATGATGCCGGCTGCCGGTCGGATACATTTGTACATCATGTACCTTATTTGTGTTAATTTTGTAGAGAATTCTGATAACATAAGTACCAAATGAACTACTTACAATGTTTACTGTCCAATTCTGTATAGAAGGTAAACTAATGTTAACCAATGATATGAACTCATGAGAGTTGATAAATTACACTAATTTCAGGGAACTCAAGATTTATGTGGGATTTCTAGTAGGATCCATCTTCCATTGATTCGAGGGGTGCTATAGGTTGAACTTTCAAGTAGCCTGTGAATTAGAGTGGCTTGGCATCAGATGGTGTTGGTGACATTACCTGTTGCTTGTAAAGACCAACAAGCTTTTGCCATGTGTAGGTATATTCGAGTAAAGTACCAGTATGTTGGCCATAGCTGGAGTGCCAACAGTTGTGGTATAGAATAACCAATTCCAAGACCAACTGAAAGAATTTTTATGATTGGCTTCACCTCAGTAAGTTCAAACACTAATATGGATCTTTGTCATAGCTGAGTGACAGCGATAACATTGGAATGACACTGATAATACTTGGTATGGCTTTGTGTTTTCTCTTTCTTTTGGTCATTCAATCTTTAGGAAAATAGTGTTAGATTTTTATTACATGGAATGCTTCCATTATTACCTGTCATTCAAGAATATGTTATCTTTAAATCTTATTCTGCTTTTGGAAGCTGAAATAATAGTGATATCTCATACGATGACACAGTTGTTGTCTACCATTCAAGTGTAATACTGAAATTAGTATCAGTATATATACTCACAATATTTCGTTTTATTAAGTTGTGAATATTAGGTGTATATGAATGTATGCAGAGATGTTTAGAAATGAAATGAATTCCCAGGTTGTATTTTTCTATTACTGCTTGATTCATTTACTGACTATATGATGATTTTGTCATCCCATGTCAGTGCTTTAAGGTACAGTTCAACTAGTCTTGTGTATGTGCAGGTTTGGCTGTAAGTGTGGTTATCTGGGCTGAATACCTGTCACTTTGGTGCAGATTCTAGGGGCTAAGGGGAGCCAGTGATAACATGACTGAGAGCGTCTTTTACCTTGTGATTTCTGGGCTTTTCAGGGTGCAGCTTCAAATTATTGTCTGTAATTCACCGTAAGAAATTATCAGTATTTATAAAGTCAACAAAAGTCATATTACAGATTTTATGTAAACCATTTAGAGTTAATAATCACAAAATTTGTTCTTTATTACCAAAAACAACTAAACAGGAAATGGCCAATTTGAAACTGAGAATCTACACTCGTGCCGACGGCCCGTCAGACTAGTGTTAATGATTTTGAATCTGTAAATTAGTTTCCATGCTTCTTTCTTCAAAAAATATACACCATGAAACATGAAACTATGGTCAAACAGGGAATAAATCCTTGTGCTCCATGTTTCTCAAATGAGAAGTACTAAGCACAATGTTATTTAAGGGAGAGGCATGTATGGTCTATTATGGCGATGCTTTTCGCCTTTGAAACACTGCATCTAGCAGAGCAGTCGGATTCAAGTAGGGTACTAGACGTATACAAGACCAGTTGAACCTTGCCTTTCATTGGAATATTACACATTCTCTTTAAACCATCTAAATTGCCATTTGTTTTTCCCAACAGGCTCGAAATGCAGAAAAGGCAATGTGAGTATATATATATATATATAGTAATCGACAAAATAAATAAAAAGACTATTTTAAAGTGGTTGCTGCAATTTCATAGTTTGATAGAAAGTAGATCAAAACAAACACAAAAATATTTTAACAAGTGTTTTACAGACTTGAATGTACTTTGCAGGACAACACTGGCCAGATGGAGAGCAGCCCAGGAAGGAGGGGGACAACAACAGAAGTCACGGAGGCCATATCTTGCTTCCGAATGCGAGGATTTACGAGAGGCCGAAAAGTGGAGAAATCAAGTGATATCAGAGGTTGCTCGGAAAGTTTCACAGATACAGAATGGTGAGTGTGTATGCTGTGAAATTGAAAAACTTATTGGCTAATTTCAAAACTTTACTCAGCTTATTGGTAGGATTATGGTCTAAACAAACTGGAATACAAAATACTTTGTTTATACAAGACACAAAGAGATGTGAATTGATTCTTCTGTACTATATGCAGTTTTTAGAAATAAAAGTTGTGCCTGATGAACTGTTATGCCATAAATCACTTATGCGGTCCTTATGCCAGATTTTATTTTCTGAAGTAAGAACTTCTTATAAAATGCAAGTTAATAAACAACCAAAGAATAATTTGCAATATTGCTCTGTCTGTCTGTCACTCTCTCTGGCTTAGCAAACATACCTAGTAATTTGACATTTGTATATATTCTAAAAGAGCGTAGATGTGAATAAATGATTACAAAACACAAGATTTGGATTCAATATTTCTCATTCCCATTTTTGATAAATTGACAATAGAAATATAACAAATTAATGTTGCCTCGACAGCTGGTTTGGGGGAGTTCAGAATCAGAGACCTTAATGATGAGATCAACAAACTGCTACGTGAAAAAGGTCATTGGGAAGTCAGAATCAAGGAACTTGGTGGGCCGGACTATGCTCGGGTCGGTCCAAAGATGACTGACATGGATGGGCAGGAAGCTCCAGGGAACAGGTGAGTATCGGGTGAAGATTAGAAGAAGATTGGGATGGGAATAGGTGAAGATTAGAGAATGATGGGTAGAGATTGGGAAAGGATTGAGTGAAGACTAAGCCCTTATGGAAGCTTGTTGCAGAAATAGGCCTAGGACTACACACATTCAAACAAACAAACAAAACAAAACATAAATACACCTATTCATTGCCTTCTCATAGTTTCAGCATGGATTTAGTTCCTAAAATATGTAAACAGATTAATAGATAAAACATTTTGAGTATGATGATACATTTTTCTACTGCCCTATCAAAGTTGCTAATAAAGTTTGTCCATAAACTTAGTTCCCACAAGTACGTGAATATTTATTCTCAATAAGTTAATTACTTCCCCTTGTGCCATGCCTTTGTTAAATCCAATCCATCACCTTCCAGAGGGTATATGTATTTCGGAGCTGCCAAGGACCTGCCGGGGGTGAGAGAGCTGTTCGAACAGGAACCTCCAGCTCCCCCTCGCAAGACCAGAGGAGAGCTGATGAAAGATATCGATGCAGATTACTACGGTTACAGAGATGATGACGACGGTGTGCTGATACCGTTGGAGAAAAAAGCGGAGAGAAAAGGTGTTTATAACTTTCTTTTATTTTTCAAAGATTGTTTGTGTATTTGGTTGAAGTGTACTTTTTTTTTTCTTCATTTTTATGGATTTATTTTCCTGTTACTTTTCATGACCTTCTTGAGTCCTTCCCTTTCTTTTTAAAGTCTCTATACATTGCGAAAGATTTATTGAAGTACGAGTATTTTAGACTTCTTACTTGTAAAAAAAGTAGGATAAAGTATTTAAAAATTTCTTAACCGGCATTTAGTGTTTTGACTATCTTTATTTTAGACTTTCTTTTAGACTTTTTCTTCTTCTTTTTCTGCTTTTTTTCTTCTTCTTTTTCTTCTGCCTTTTTCCTGGTTTCTTTTCTTCTTCTTCTTCTTCTGCTATTTTTTTTTTCTTCTTCGTCTTCTTCTCTTCGTGTTCTCATTTTTCTGCCTTTACTTCTTTTCCTTGTTCATGTTCTCTTCTTATTCTTCTTCATATTCATCTTCATCATCATCTTATTCATTTTCTTCATCATCTGCTTCTATTTCTCTTGTTGTTGTTGTTGTTGTTGTTGTTGTTCTTCTCCTTCTCTTGTTCTTGTTCTTGTTCTTCTATTTCTTCTTCAATATTAGTGATCCTTATCTAATCTGTTATTTATACTTACTTTATCCCTAGCAATAAAAACAGCTGTCAAGCAATACACGGAAAAGAAATTGTCAGCACTGTCAGACGATGTGGAAGACGAGGAAATAAATGAGGAAGAACATCAAGAGGAGGAAAGTGAGGAAGAATCAGATCACGAAGATGAACAAGTGAGTTTGCCGAAAGAAGAATTTTTCTCTTCATTGCTCATTAGGTTGACTTTTTAAAAACTTTTATTTTTTTTATTTTTTTTATTCACTTTTAAAAATTTAGGCAGTGGACATGGGAAGCAACCACAGAAATGTACCTTTATTTTTCTTGTCATCTCCTTGATGTGCAAAAATTTATGAATGTTTAATTTTCATGAATGAATCATGGTAGATTTTCCCCAGTACAAGTTAAGATCTTCATCATCCAAAATGAGCTAATATTATCCTGTTGTTTGATGTAGTTAAGCATCATTCCAAAGAAGTTGGTAGTCCACTTGGCATAACTGCTGGAAGCCTACTGAGGTCTTCCCAAGCAGTACCCTCCCTCCTAAATACTCTTTCTAAATTACCTAATTGTTTCTGACTAATTAGTGAGCCTCCAGCATTAACTGTATACTGGGAATATGACTCTGTCTTGGGATGATACATACGTCTTATTGTCTGGTTTTTGCGATGATGGCCATACATTAGGGGTTAATAATGTCTTTTAGATTTGTTTGGGGGTTTGAAATGGTTCTTACACAACTACTCATGGAAGAATTATGTCGTTACTCTAGATTTATTCCAGTTCTAGATAAATACAAGCCTATCTCTTCTATTTCCCAACAGATGTCTTTAGATGAAACAGATGAGAGATCAGAGGTTCAGCGATTCATGGCTCACGTGCCCAACATCCCATCACAAGCAGACATCGAAGCAGCACTAGTCGAGAGAAAGAAACGAGAGTTACTACAGACTTTCTTGGGTGACTGAAATCTAAGGGGGGAGTGCATTGTTAACCAGCATTTCAAACATTTAGTACAACCGTTGTGCAAAAATAAAGAACAGCATTCAACTCAGTAAGCTGATATTACTGTGTATGTCAAGAAAAATGGTTATGTATTGTTTTATTCTTAATTAATTTATGGCACTGATTGCATTATATATATATAACATACTTGGGCAGTACTTAACGAGGAAGGACAGCTCAATAATAAAGATGGTACTCCATAATTTTCTTTCAAAGGGCGTTGTTCACATTGAGTGGAATAGGCATTTGCATGTGCTATGTGCAGAAACATTTTAAAGGTTAAATAGGTTATATATTTCCAAGAAAATAAAAAGACTGAAATGTACAGAATATTTCTGGTATCCCTTCATTGATTACAACTGAATAATGTATTTGATATAATCACATACATGGCTATACATATGCTATGAGAATTATCTAATATGTGGCAGTTTGTTTATTTACTACAATTAGACCTTGTGAAGATTTAAAGATATTAGAATAAGTTCAATGTCTTGTGGTTTGTGATATTGAATATTGCATTCTTTCAGTTTCATGATATATAAAGGCCATATCAAAAGCTAAAAATAACATCAAATTGATTGGTGTCCCCAACAGGTATTTTAGTATGTTTATATGTATATGTACAACCAAACATTATTTTTTATAATTTTAGAGGAAAATAATAATAATGAAAACTATGGAATTGTATGTGTATCCTTTTTATAATACAGGCTTCTGCATATCAATCTTCTTACTATAACTCAACAATCTTTGGCCATATTATGCAAATATTTTGCTTTTACCCTCATTTTGAAATACTCTGATTTGAAATTTAATTTATTATTGAAATGATTATTTTTCCGGTGGTTTTTGGAAGAGAAACTACACTTACTAGGATAAAAAGGCTAGTTTAGTGTGACAAGGCCCCACGGCAGACAATTCTGGGGAGTTTTGTTACGTGTGAAATAAATTTCATCATTAAAAAAAAAAATTTACTTACTACTACTCTTCTTTTTTCTCTTTTTTTTTGCTCCCGGTATTTTACCTTTTGTTCATCTTGCTGGTGTCTTTCTTATTGTTTCATCTAAATTTCTCCTATATCTTGTCCTCCTTTATACTTCAGGGTCAGTGTATGGTGTAGTGCAATTTCCACCTGGTTAGAACTGTTATCCCAAGTTTACGAGTCACTGTCTTACAGCTAATTAACCCAACGGCTCAAGAGAAAACTAAGTATCAAATTGGAAATAGTATGAACTACCAGCTATGGAGGATGCTTCACTCCATTGCGATCAGCCTACTGTGAAATATTAGTATATTCTTTATATACTGCTCTCAGCATGTACACATTTGCATTTAGTGTTATGTTTCATTACACTTGACAGGTACACCCACCATCAAAATTTCACTGGCAGTCCAAACATAGGTTATTAACCCTATGATAACGGGGTCTGATTCATTTGTGATGTAGTATTATGCAACAGTCTAGATTTTGTGGCTATGCCTAAGCTGTGTAAAGCCGGCCCACCCACTGCAAGTCATGACACGTTCACATGTCATAGACTGTTATGTCATGACAGCTATAGCTGTCACCGTCACTGAGGGTATAAGAGGGCAATACTTCCCTTCTTCTGCCGTGTCCTCTGTGGGTTTTGTTTACAGGCATTGGCTAAGAAGGGACTATCAACAGCCTTATACTTGAGGGTGTGGAACCTAGGAGCACTACAAAACATAATGTAGAGAGATTATAATGCCTTTAGTGATGAAGATGTCAATGATAAAAAAGATAATTCTGATTTGAAATTTCAAATTGGAAATTGTTACTGATATTTATCATTAGATAAATGGACTCTTATTTTAAAATTTCTAGCCCAGTATGAAATATTAGCCCTTGTCCTTCAGACACTTTTGACTGCCCACCCTTCTGTTTAAGCTCCATTTTAATTACAATTACATTCTGTCATTACAAAATTATAAATAAAAGTTCTAAAATGACAATATACCATGACTGACTATCAAAAGAAAAAAGGAGGATCTATGTCTATGAAAGGATTGCTCTAGGTCTGGTTCACCTCATACCCAAGATTACTTTAGTTTTATAGAACAGGAGATAATTTTGGATCCAGAAGGTAGACAAACTTTGCTGGAAAACCTGTGGGAACCAAAGTAATGGTAAAGGCAAATCTTTGATTCATAAATCCTATATAACTTGCACAATAACTTATGTAATAAAGGATTGAAAGACTGTAAAAAGACATAAAAGAATGAGATCTGTATATTTTCAAATCATAACTCACAGTATATGATAAATGCAAGACCAGGTGTGGAGTACCATTTTCCAGCTCGGTCTGAATATGATAATAACATAATTTATTCAATTCTATTAATTTTTTTCAAATGCACCGGAGTAATAATATATATCAAAAACACAATTTGACACTTCTGAAACTAGAAATTGATAATTAATTTTCTGAAAGTAGTGCAGTTGCCTCAAAACTTTGCTGCAAACTTTTTCACAATACCTATACATATTCTTATCATATGCATGCCTTTAAAGCTGATATATGTATGTGCTTTATATTACTAATATATATATATAAAAAACAATATCTCTTGATTATGACTCATTTCAAATACTGTAACTAGTCTCTTCTAAATACTGCTTATTCTTCCTGTCAATTTCTTTCCTTACTGTTATATTTGGCTTTGAAAACAATATACAACAAAATTACATAAAAATGAAAAGAAAAGAATGAAATACAAATAGCTAAATGTGACAAAAAAATAGCATATTGACAGAAAAGTATACAACAGATTGGTCATCAATCGATGAAATGCAAAGGATAGTATATTCGTCAAGAATAAAATGCATTAAAGGAATTGACAAGCAGTACATAAAAAAGTGTAAATACAATTATGATATCCTTCAATAATTCTTGTAACTTTCATAAATCAAAAAGAAAAGGGAAAAATAGAGAGAGAGAAAGGGGGAAAAAGTCACATACAAGACATCATGACAACATGATAAAGCAATAACATAACTCTCTATGAACGTATCATTCAATGCCGTGCACCAGTGGAGTGTGCCGATGCTCAAACTCATGGGACCTACTGTAGCCTCATTATTCTGTCCTTACCAGGTTCTTTTAGACATTTAAATCTCTGTGCCTGACTGAGGTTCCTGTTTTGTAACAACTTGTAATGTAACGTCTTCAACAATGTGGTGGACTGCCGTGTCATCCTGTGTGTGTACGACGTGTGTGTGTGTGTCGACCTCCTCCTCAAAGCCTCCCTCGCCTTCAGTGAAGCCTTCTCCCTCAGTAAAAGCACCAGCCTCGCCCTCCGTTTCCAACCCGTCACCCGCTACACACTCCTGGGCATCAGTATCTTCGTCACACAAGTCCGAGTCGGCAAGGACAGCAACCTGAAAGAAGGTAGAAGATGCATAATTAACTAGTTAGGTAGGCCAAGTGATAATGGTTGTAAATATAAGTAAGTAGCATTGAAAAAGAAGAAAAGGATTTTTTCTTTTTTTGTTATTGATGCCATTTGGTTCATATGTGGCTTATTCACACTGTCTTCCCATCAAAGTCTAGCATTTCAATACCTGTTTTAATGAAAAGTCCACATCCAAAATAACCATCTTTTATTTTTTTGCAATCCCTTTCAGAAGGAACGCAGAATACCAAAAAGGATGGAAGGGTGACCGTCTACTTCAGATAGGAGGAAACCTTAAATCAACTCTTTTTAAATTACCTGGGCCAGGATATCAGCAGGTGCTGCTTCTCCATCCACTAGTCTCCCCTCTGCCTTTAGCCGCTCTTCTGCTCTCATCTGGTACCACTCCCGTCGAATCTCCTCCTCCTGTTGGGAGACAATTTTAGTACTGTACTGAAACATCTCATCAATATTTTGATACTAGACTTAAGTATACTTTTATATATTCTTCACATATTACTAAAAAATGTGATACATATGCTTTACATTACCATATTTCCTATTCACTTTACAAAGGGACTAAATCTTTCTATGGAGATTTAACTTATAAATAATCAAACTTGTAATGGTGTAGAAATAATAAATTATTGAAATATCTGATATACACCTGATCTTCAACACAAACAAAGTCAAGATAGAATGATCTGAATAATCCTATATTTAATTCATATACACTTGCCACTGACATTGCAAAAAAAACTGTTCTAAATGAAAATTAGTTCACAACTAACAAAACAGATAAAATATTCTTCCAATATTATCAACTCAAGTCTGAATGTTTAGACAGTACAAAAAACCTGTACCTTGTTAAAGATGTCTTCAATATCAGGTAATAATTTCTCACAGGCTGTCGCCACTTCTGAAGGCTTACGAGAATTGTTTCTCCCAACGGATTCTTTGTATAGTCTCACCTCTCTGCGCAAGTTCTTCATCTTAACCTGTTGTAGAGAAAGGTCTTGTTTGTTAAATGAATGCACCTTGTACTTAACATACTGGAACCTGCATTTACACACACACAAAAAAGAAGAAGAAGAAGAAGAAAAAAAAGAAAGATGGAAAGAAAGAAAAAACAAAACACACACAATGAAAGATTTTATGGACCTATAGTTCATATCAAGTGCATAAAGCAATCTTTTATATGTCTTAGACAGAAAACCTGAAAACCCACCTGGCACTGTCTCCAATTTTTCTGAATGCCACGACCTTGCAATCTCCTGGCGACACGTTTGCAAAGAGCCATCGACCGAATGAAGTACGATGGTGGGACCTGATTTGTGGGAGAATAATTAAAATAATGAGAATAGTTGTAATGAATAAAAATATAAAAGATCTTGTGCGAATAGTTGTATTTCATAGGGCTTTTGGATTCGATTTGTGATTTTAAAAAGTATGTAGCTATATCTGCGGTGTTCTTACTCACTCTCATGATCCCTGTCTAAATCTACTGACTTATTAACAGTGCAAATAAATGACTCAAGGTTTAAGCCTATAAGAAAATGCACTAGCTAATCTTTAATCATCTTGTCTCTCTTTTTTATCAGTATTTTGAATTCCAGTTAAAATAATCAAATCATATTCCTTGTCCACATTCCTCGCTATAAATCTACAAAGCTACTTATTTGAACACTTAAGCAGAGATGTAAAGCAACTAAATAGTAAAGTATGATCATGACTCAGGACAGAAATTTTTACCATTACATTTTTTCCATTAACTTAGAGCAGTTTTTGACCCACCCTTATTTTCCTCTCCTGCAGATACAAGGTATAATTCACTCTTGGATTTTCATTTGTATGATACACAGGCAAAAGAGAGAAATTATTTTTACACGTTATTTTTGTGTAGTTATATTCCTGTCTTTTAGGTCTCTTTCCTTTTCTCAACCCATTCAACATTTTTCTGTTCTTCAAGGATTAAAAACTATTTACCCTTTCCTTTCATCGTAATATCTGTCTAAGGTTAATACTTTAAATATAAATAGGTTTCTAAAATGCCTTTCCAAATTTGTTTCTATATCTTAAACACCATTAAGTGGCACCATAAGAAAATCTGATCAAAAAGCATTAGAACATTATTAACTCAAAGTTTATTGAATATCAACCCTAAATCTATTGACAAAGTATTAGTGCAGAGAAGAGTTCAGCCGTTGTATGTAGACCCTTGACATGCCAGATTTTTTTGTTACCTTTAAACATTAATATAGTTCACTGAAAAAAAAGAAAAGAAAGAAAGAAAGAAAAAAAAAAAAAGAAAAAAGAAAGAAAAGAAAAGAGAGAGAAAGAAAGAAAGAAAGAAAAAAAAAGAAAGAAAGAAAAAAAGAAAAGAAAAAAAGAAAAAATCTGACATCATTATCAACAATAATTTATCAGAAAAATTACTGAAGACAGAACAGAATAGAGGGAACTTTTGTACTCCACTGCCTTTAGCTCTAGAGATCGCACAAAGGTCTTGTGGATGTAAAGGGTCGATTAAAGTAACTCAACTGATAACCAACACACCTGCGTAAGAGTTTCTCGCCAGACTCTGAGCAACGCTTCTGTGTCTCTCACTGACCAAATTTTGCGTGACGTACAAGTACAGATGTCCAAGTCGTTGTCGTGGAAATGTCCTGCATGGATTTAGAGAGTTCATTTTTACTTTGATGCCAGATGTAGAAGTATATAACAATCTATATGTATATATATATATATATATATATATATATATATATATATATATTATATATATATATATATATATATATATATATATATATATATATAAAGCATGAATGTAAAAATAGACATATGATAATTCAGATGTGTAGGTTATCTGTCCCTTTAGTCTTACGTATAAATATATTTTATAGTTACTGATATATACAGAGAAAACAAATAGGAAAAAAGAGAGAGGGAAAAAAGGGAGAAAATAGTACAGTAAGAAAAAAAAAGGAGAGGGAGAGGGTAGAGATAGAGAGAGAGAGAGAGAGAGAGAGAGAGAGAGAGAGAGAGAGAGAGAGAGAGAGAGAGAGAGAGAGAGAGAGAGAGAGAGAGAGAGAGAGAGAGAGAGAGAGAGAGAGAGAGAGAGAGAGAGAGAGAGAGAGAGAGAGAGAGAGAGAGAGAGAGAGAGAGAGAGAGAGAGAGAGAGAGAGAGAGAGAGAGATAGAGAGAGAGAGAGAGAGAGAGAGAGAGAGAGAGAGAGAGAGAGAGAGAGAGAGAGAGAGAGAGAGAGAGAAAGAATTACAAATAACTATATAAAAGAAAGACTAAAGACAAAGCGTTAGATTCTACTCACCAGGTGAACCTAATCTTCTTATTTTGTTGATGGGTTCTGATCTCTCATGTCCTCCGTCGGAACCGTCTGTACGCTGCTCGTAACATACTATGTGGTTACTCAGGTGCATGGCCCTCTTCCGAAGCGCTGATCTGGCCCTGCGTCTCCTCCTCATCCCTGAACCTGTTTGTTTACATGTTAGTCAGTTTGTTTTTGGCCCTTTTGTTGTGGCTCTTATGCAAGGCTTGTACAGCTTTCCTATTGCATTCCATGATTTGCGCAGGGATTTACCTGGGGGAGGTGGAGGCTGGGCACGGGGGAGAATCACTGGCTTGCGGTCAACCACTTCCCACTTCTCGCGGTTTTCATCAGAATCGCCAAGTTCAACCTATTGAGGGGAGAAGATGTAATGTGGGTAATTTAAAGAAATAGCTTTGATAATCCTCACAGATTCATGTCAAAGCAAATCTTATTAATCTTAGTCCTTCATAGCGGATCTAAGATGTTTTAAGGTTCTTGGAATTTGGTTTCTTCCCTTCAATCAATCTTCACCAAAAAATTGTGAATATAAGCTCTAATTATTTACCACAGAACATATAAGCAAGAAACATATAAAACTTGAAACTTTAAATCTTTGTTATTCTTACATAATTTTCTAATTCGTAACCTCAAATCTAATATACTGAGTCCTATTCAGTGCATTTCACATGTACTACATTCATTGCAGGTATGATTTCTACAATAATAACTATCAATTCATATTCAATGACTGTTGCACAAACATTTTTCTATGCCTAATCTTACTAACACCCTTGTTTCTCCTCCAATGAAACCTACTTTCACTCTAAATACAAAAGCACTTTATAACAAAATAAACACTGAACTCACATGTTGAGTGTATCTGTGGTCCTTTACCCTTCTTCCTTTCACGGTAGTCGTGGCTCCAGACTCCCCACCACTTCCGACAGACACAGACACACCGCCAGTTGAAACTCCCAAGGGTGGCTTATCATTTTCCATATCTGGGGCTAAATCCTTGGGAGGAATCATCAATAAATTACCAACTATGTATTTGTGATTTTTTTCTTTAAGGTGGTGACAATGTACAATACGCGACTTGATATCTTACAAGACATTAATTTTTATTTCTATTTTATGATAAATGCAAGGAGATGGACACAAAGTAACTCTTATTTACCTCCATATCACTGTCATCTGCATTGTCCTCCAGACCTTTAATCCGGAGATATCTAGCACCCCTGATAAATGCCTGGAGACGCTCCTGGTTGACACAAACCTGTAAAATAGAAACAAACATGTACAAAAATCAATGAGGGATCATGCTAAGAAGGATATTATTGCTGACTTCATTTATGGTTTATAGAAGCTCTGATCTGCCAAGTACCAACAAGTGAACAAAACTTCGGAACTGATTTGTGACAGCTACATGTGGATGAGCAAAGAAAGTTAATGTGTCTGCCTCAGGATTATGACCTTATAAATCACAAACCTTAACAAAAGTCTCTTAAATCAGTCTTATCATATCTAAAAATATAAGCACTATTAGTTGGCTCATATAAGTGCCATCTTGGGGGACTGCCCATCTTTCTTCTGTCACTAAGAATGGTACTTGAGGGATAAAACTCAATTCAGCTCTCATTCTTTCACTGCCACTTATTGCCAGTTCCTCCTGTACGGAATCTAACCAATCTCAAACATTTCCAGTGCTCTTAAGCTGTGTTTCTAGAATCTTTTGGCACAACACTAATAAGTCTTGGCCCACTAATTAAGAAATTTTTATCACACATTTGTCTTCATCTGAAAAACTGAGCATTTAGAACATTTACTACCAATACATCAAAAAAAGGTTAATACCAATCAACAAAAACAATGAAATAAACTTCCAGGCTCTTGCCAACTGTAGACAGAAAAGAACAAGATGCGAGAAGGATGATGAATTACCTGACCCGTGTACATGAAATCCACCATGGCCTTCAGCTCTGGGTACCGGATCTCCATCGGCAAGAGGACGATAGGATGCTTGGATGGATTGTCCTTTGAGGGAAAAGAAAAGAATAAAGAGAAATAAATAAGCATTTCGGATTCAGAAAGAAAATCTTTTTCTTAAAAAGTTTTAAAAAATAAATAAAACCTTTGAAATTTTCTTCCAAAATATTTCATCATAACTGATTTGGTTTCATGAAAGTGGGAACGGGAATCAATTTTATATACTATTTTCTTATCAACTGACATTCAAGTATAGAAAAAATTACTGGCAATACTTTAACATATAGTTCATAGTCTAAACACAATCTTAGGTACCAATTTATGTTAAATCACTTCAAGATTAAATTTCATTATCTCCTTAAAATTATAAGAGATCACTTTAACAGCAAATAGACAAATAGATTGTGTAAACATCTTTTCCAGGCAAACTTATGATAATGGCCAGGATCTATTACTCAGGCTTAGTACTAGTTCTTGAGCCATCTGTGTCCTTTCTACTGGGCTCGGTGGCTAGGAAGGCCTCAGAACATTCATCTTTTGTCATAATCATATATTTAGGAATATGCAACTATTTTCTCTTCTTTATTTGACAGTCAGACTATAGATGATTAGACCCCCGACCCCCACCCCAAATAATTTGCAAGTCTTGACTCCCTTACCAAACAGATTGCCTAAGCCTGGCCAGAAGCATGTTAACCCCCAACTTGAGCCCTTTCACTAAGGCTGCTCGTGGAACGTCTGCTTACACCCAATCACTCCCCTGTCCACCTACCCTCAAGAAATCCCGAAAGTATGTTGAACACGCGGCCAGGATCAGCTGGTGGGCGCGGACCTTATTTCCATCTCCACAGACAACAGTCACATCTACCAAGTCGCCCTCTCGTCGCAGGCCGCTGAGGGTGTTTACCAGGGAACCGTGATAGTTGTTCCACAGGATGCAGTACTGGCTTCCGTCCATCTTGCATCAGTCCTGCAGATGTGGAATTGGGTGTAAGGAAGTGGTATTACTGGCATTAATCTTATGATCCTTATCTTGATTACTATTAGTATTATCTTTATTATCATTATTATGATTAGTGTACTGTTAGTATTATCATTATTATTTTCATAATTAATATCATCCTTATCATCATTATCATCCTTATTATTATTATTATCATCATAATCAATATCATCCTTATCATCATTATCATTATTATTATCATTATTATTATCCTAATTAATATCATCCTTATCATCATTATTACTGTTATAATTATTATTATCATCAGTTGGGAAAAAATATCATTATTGTCATTTCCATCATATATCCATTTTTTTCACCACCATCTAGATAACAAGTAAAATATTGATGATTTTCACGTGACACTAAGT